TGATGACAAATTCCGCAAACTCCGAATCGTGTGCATGCCTCGTAGCACGATCATTTTCTTTTGACTCCTTCAGATTCCAATTCATCAAACTGGGCACGGATTTGACTTCTTTAAATTTATGTTCACAACTTTCGACTGTGTTGTCATTTCCTGCTGTTAACTATTAGGAACTTTTCTTTAGTTGTTTTTCAGTTAGAGTCATTTGTTTTGAGCAAATTACTCGCAATACTCAATGAGATCACACTTCTTTCAAGTTAAGTATTGTTTTACTTTGGGACTTTAACGGAGTATTTTGTGACTCAGTGTCAGTCTACCAAGGAATTGTCAACCAAACGAGTGCTATTTGTGACTATGTTTTTCTCTCTTCTATGTTTTCGCACTAGCCTCCATTTCCTATCAGTCAGGACTACCTAGGACAGTGAGAGTTTTACCTGGGTTATCAGGTACTACTGTAGAATCGTGACCACCAATACCCATTGGCATTTCACTCTTTATTTATTTCAAAAGAGATTTCCACTTTGCATGTTTCTCAGTCGGGTGTTTGACTCGTCCCGTAACAGTACTTACTACACTAATACATTCGCTGACATTACTCATGTTGCCGGTCCAGCCCTCATTAACTTTCTTGCTGGCTAATTGCCTCGTCACATAGAATTCCTTCCTCCACATGGAAGGAACAATCTAGCTGTCCACAGTTTGATCAATACCAAAGATTTCCTTGTCCTCCTATACTTTGCTGCTTCATGGCATCATCTTTTCTGGTAATAGCTTTATTTCCTGCATGAGACCAATGTTAAACACTAGTTTATGAAACATGTCCCATCATCTTATAAATCATATCTTCAAATTGAGTTGGAATTTTAAATATTTAGGTCTTGTTTCCATCCAAATAGCTGGTCTCACATCATCTATAAATATTATAAGAAACGATATGACTAAATAACAAAGTACTTAGAAATAAAACAATCGTATAAAATAACGGTAGTGCTTATTAAACAATATAGTTTAAGTACTAGTATAATCAAGAAATATCTTGTTCTATTAGCAATGGAATTCGATTGTTTTTGAAGATAGTACAAAACTCTGGTAGAATTGAAACTGATTTATATCCTGGACTTCACTTTTAACGTCTCATACCAGAGTTGCTGAACTTATAATTTCAAGACCCCCGTTCATAATATAACAAAATCATTTGAAGTCCTGCGATAGTTGTTTGGAGTGTATAGCCTACCTTATATATTTCAGTATCACATGAGTCTTAGCCGTTTAACTGAATGAAGACCAATTTCTAGGGACATATGTAGGTTAGTTACTGAGAAGTCATGTATGGCTTTGGTACAACATTGTTTATCACTCCCGATTTTCACATGGTCATCATCCTCTAATTGAGAACAAGATCCAGAAAACAAAGCAAACCAAATATATCTTCTAATAATTCCGTGTTAACCCAAGTGATGCAAGGTTTTAATTGATTTCATAAACTCGGTATGACGCAACACGTTTCAAATGAAGCATTCATTTACCTTTCAGAAGTTCAACCTTGTCATTGACGAAAGATTTTGATATTTTCCATTTACTTCACTTAATGAGGATGGTAAAAGCAAACAGGGAACATAATTTCGAACTTCTTCAAGAGAGGGTATTGTGGCTTTTATTTAGTTAAATGCACACTAAACAGCTTGATAAAGAAACGGATGCATTGGAACGTAAAATGTTAGATGTAAAGCCGTGGTATTTACAAGGTGAAGTTGCAGCTACTAAACGAAATGAGAATACCCTGCTTGAAGAACACTTTGACGTACAACGCCACGGTCTTTTCAGTAAGTTTAATGATACATGTTCTAAGTTTTCTTTAGAGCCAGATGTTCATGACGAAGCTGTTATAAATGACTACATTATAAAAGCCATCAAAGAAAGAGTTAGTGAAATACTAAGCAGTGATTTTCTTTCTAGATGTTTGACAGTCCTGTTTTCAAAGTTAAGGAAGTTAAAGGGCCTTCTAAGGAAATTCCACTACAAAATATTGTTCAGAAGTCACTGGTAGAGGAGTATGAAAGTTTTCTCAAGAGAAATCAGGTAGAAACTACATATGACATCTTATTTCTAGATTCTTGAAGAAGACCAAGGAGACCCCCAAAAGAATGCAATCCAAGCTGAAATGTTGGAGCTCTTCGACAAGTTAGATAGACTTTCTAGTCTGCATTTTGTGCCACATAAGGTATGTTTGACTATTCTCGCATTTTCGGATTGTATACTCGGATTTATTAAGATCGACGTCACTGTTGTTTATTAACACAGATAAGTTATGTGTAGCAGTACCACCTTTTGATCTGATTGTTCCCTATCGATAAATACCTTTCCTTGTTAACAACCTGAAAAAACCAATCACCATCATATCCTCAGGAGCGCTAAAGTTTTTCTTGTTGACTCTGAGACCTCTTCTTTGCCTCCTTATTTTTCCTATCACCAGACGTTTTTACGTATTTTCATATTCCTTATGTCTCACTGGTTCTAACAACTCATCCTTACGATACGTCACTAGTGATTTCTCAGAACTACTCTACACTTCACTTGGTGTGACTTCAAAATGCTCAAATTCTATCAGTTGTAGGAGTAAGTCCTGTTGTTCAAGATTTTAAAGCTTCGTTCCATTATTGTATAGTGTCCGAAACTCAGATACAGAGGACATGTGCGCTCACCTGATCTCAGCTAAATAGCAGAACTGTTCTGCCCTGTGTTTAAAGATCCACGTAAAACTCCTTGCAGTAGCCTAAAATGACCTCTGAGTGTACTTTTTGACGATAAAAGGATTATTTCAATTATCATGGTTTTCAAAATGTTTAGTATTTTGTCCATCTCGATATGGAAACAAGCTTAATGATTTAGAGGCCTTGAGATATGTTGTGCAGGCATGACGTTCTGTTTGTCAGAGTACATATGATGTGCTGTATTTCAGTCTCTGGTGCGAAGTCTTGTCTCTAAAGATTAAGGACATGTATGTTGCTACTAATTGTTCATATAGATCTTACCTCTTGTGACAGAGTGAACGCTTGGAATATTATAAATTTCGGAGTCATTTTATGGACTAATATTGTTTGCTCCGTTCTCGGGGATTTATGACTTGATTGTGTAAAGGATGCTCTCTTATCTAGAATGTGTTGTGTATGATTGGGTGTCTGAAATTTGGTAATAGGAGTTTGTCTGCCGTGTTCTCTAATTATAACTTAGGATGAGATAGAAAAAGAAGTGCATATCGGCTTCCGAATAAAAGCTAACATTACCTCAACTGCAACTCAAGACTAACCTTGCCAGTCGAAGAGTATGTTTGGTCAGAGCTTAAGACGCTAGGCTATAGACCAGATAGTACAAGCGGGATTTTGATTGGGGGATCTACTATAAATGTCAGTTAATATTACATTCATAACAGCTCCCGCATAGTTTTAGAACGATGTGATTGATAACAATACTATGTGTAGGGTACTAGTGGTAAATCCGTTGAGAACCTTCATCGACTAAGCTAGTCACAAGACGACCTGCCATTGAGTATCCCGTGGTGGGTCGCTGAGTATTATATAAGATAATTGGGAAGTAACGGCTAGACAAAGAAATGAAACCAACCCATAAAATCGTTATATATATATATATATATCGAAAAGTTCAGATTTCTTATTTGGAGACGTCATGTTGCATAGTTTATAGTCGGAATGGTACAGATACATGGATTTTACATCTTTTAAATCCTGAGCTAAGTTATTTCATACATCTTACTCCTTGATTTGATTTAATTCTCACTACTGTTAATATTATTCTAATTTACACATGCTCTCGCTCTGCTGATGTAGTGTGATAATTAAGACTAATAAACATTAGCGTCTATCTATACATTGTTTATCCTCTTTTTCATGTTTTTAAATAAGCAATTATTGCTGATCTGGTTGGCCAGGATCTTTGTGTCTCACATATAGCATATAAAGGTTAACTTAGTTAGTACCCTCTTGTATCCATTAAAATAGAGGTTGTCAGGAGAAGAGTATTCACTCAGACCATCTGATAATAGAATTAAATAACTTATTGCCTTAGTACTTTATGACTAACACCATCTTTGTTTATTAAGCAGTTACACATTACTCAAGTAATGCTTGGTAGATATCTGATGACTAATTACTTTCAACCTATACAGACCTTCCAGTTTGAAATGTAATCACATATGATTATATTTTTCAACTTTCGTTAACGGGAATGGTTTTGATAGTAACGTTTGTTTAACAAGCGTTTAAGTATGTGCGTGAGCATGTGGCCAATTTGTTTCATATGAAATTTATTACAGATGAATTAATAGACTGAAAACTTATGAAACACGCTGATAAGAAGTATTTTTCTAACCGTACTTTCTATGTCGCGGTCCTTCCACTTTAACAAATATGATGAAATGCTTAGTTTGTTAATTGCCTTTCTACCTTAATTTTGAATTTAGTACATACCTGCTTCCACGTCTGCTAAGAATGATGCAGCATCAAAATTAGAAGAACCTGGACCTACAGTGGTCTCAACAGCCAATCTCTTAGCTCCAGAAGAGATTTGTCCACCAAGAGGTGAAATACTTATTGGTAAAAGTGAGCGCACTCTTGCTGACCGTCGGCGACATCGTCGAAAATTAATGAGGATAAGATCAAAACAGCTTAATCCCCCGAAGAAGGGGAAAGTAGATGAACAGCAAATGGCCATGGCCAAAATAACCAAAATGGCACACCGACCGAATTCTAACATTAAAATTGTAAAGTAAAATGTATTTATCTTTTTGAGCTTGCTAAAATTTATCCTTGCAAATAAATATTCCTCATCTTACCATTTGAATCTTCAGAGTGCACCATGAAACAGTTTTTTGGGGAGGTTATACTGTAAGGGTTATCATATATTTCTGCTACAACGGATATAATTTTTCATTACCCTAGATCATCTTAAATTTGATGCTCACGAGCGTAATCAAAAACAAGATGGGTAAATGTATGTACATATATATAGAATTAATTACTTAAATCTATTCCAAATCATCAGGGGGAGCAGAAAACCATTCACTGTATTTAAGACAAGGTGTTGTAGATGACATAGCCTTTAGAAATAGTATACATCTGCGAGCAGCATCTTTACGTGCACTTGCCAGGTTTGGTGACAATTGACTTTTGATTACATGTGGTGGTAGAGTGGAAAGTTCTGCAAAGCAGCAGATCATCCCTAAAAAGTATATAAACAGCTCAGTATTAATTGAAGAATTTCGTAAAGTAGAATAATCAATATATCTTAACATTCATAAATCGGAGCCCCCAAATGCCCTGGTATGGCCGAGAGCGGGGAGGGTTCGCCCTCCCTCTCGAAATACTCTCACACGGCCACGCGTATACAGCCTCTGTCAGGGAAGTCCTACTCACTGCCTTCTCGTGGCGGGGGTGTTGTTTACGAAAATGAGAGGACGAAAAGCGAATGTCCGGCGCTATAACTGGATCCTAAATCAATGGTGCACATGGGCTCCAGTATCCTGCAAGAACAAATGGCGTATGAACCAATCGTTGGTCACCGGCTTCCATGGGACCGCATCTCCTCACGATGCTCCACTGCCTTGTGGACTAGACCCTTGGGTCAAAGGCTCGGGGTGTGGCCCCTAAGAAAACCACCTGCTTCGGTTTGGGCACCCGGGCAGTATCTCAGCCCACGCACTAAAACCATGATGATGAACAATTTGCTTATGGAAAATATTCCTTTCTATCTGATTAACATTGAAATAACTCGTACTATTATTATCATTACTCTACCACGTCATTTATTCACCCTCTCTTATACCTACTTTATGTATCCATTTCGACCTAGACAGCAGCTCTCCTATGGTGAAAATTCAGCTTTATCTAAACGTACTCGAGTCACTGCCTGGTTGAAAATTGTATGTTACCACCGAATAAGAGTACTGAAGCAGTTTTTCTGAAACCACGCGCACCATTCAAACTGGCTGCCTTCAACGTTCGCACACTTATGCAGGTCGGACAGCAGATAGGGCTGGCTATGTCTTTGGAAAGTCTTAATATTGACGTGTGTTGTCTATCTGATACCCGTATTCAAGACTCTGGTGAAGTACTACAAGTTTGCTCCCCATCTGTTGCTTCAAAAAGCTTGTTTTATGTGCGTTTATCCGGGGACCCTGTGGCATCTTCGTCTGGTCTTGCTGGCGTTGGTGTCGCACTAAGCGCAAGAGCTGAGGCAGCACTAGTCGACTGGATCCCCATTAACAGTCGGTTATGTGCTGTTAGATTAGAAAGTTCCATCAAAGTGAGAAGAAATCGGCGTGAGAAACGATGTCTTTTCGTCATCTCCGCCTATGCCCCGACAGATTGCAGCCCGGATGCAATCAAGGACGAGTTCTACCACCAGCTAACTGTTCTTCTCCAGAAAGTGCGTTCGACAGATATTGTTTTACTAGCCGGAGACTTGAATGCTCAGGTCGGGCGTCTAGGCACAGAAGAGAGTCGTTTAGGTGGCCGATGGGGACTCGTTGGTCGCAGGACAGATAACGGGGAACGTCTACTGCAACTATGCACAGACCACAACCTGTTTCTGGCTAGCACTAACTTTCGGCACAGTCATCGCCGATGTGCCACCTGGCGTCCTCCTTCTGCATCTCTAGCCTGGACTCAGATTGATCACATCGCGATCAGCTACCGCTGGCGTGGTTGTGTACAAGACTGCCACTTCTTTTGGAGTACCTATCTGGAATCTGATCATGCTCTTGTCTGCGCCAATCTTACCTTACTTTTCAGTGGACAACGAAGTGACCGCCACCAAAGGATTGATGTTAGCAAGCTGGCTGCAACTTCTGTTGCTAGTATGTACCGAACCGAGCTAGCTTCTAGGCTAGCCACCATTCCACCGAAAAGTATAGATAAGCACTGGTTGCAATCGCATGACGCCATGAAAATGGCGGGTCAAGTCTGTTGTGGGTTCGCGAAACGTCCCGCTTATAAGCACTGGGTTTCTTCTGGTTCCTTACAACTAATTGAAGCCCGTCGGTCTACTCCGGGTGACCGTGAGTTTGACCACAGACGAGGGATGTTACGTAATGAAATCGGGCAAAGCTTGCGTAAGGACCGAGAAGCCTGGTGGTCGGAGCGTGCCAGTGAGTTGGAAGCAGCAGCTGCATCTGGTAATTACCGGAAGCTCTTCCAACTCATCCGAGCCACTGGCAGCAAGAAGTCTGGTGTGAGCGAAACAATCTGCGAGGATGACGGAATGCCAATCACTAACATCCATCGACGTCTTGGATGATGAGCAGAATTTTTCGAAAAGCAGTTCCGTTCAATTGGCCTGCTGCTCCGACAACATCGGTCAGACTGTCCTGCCCTCCATGGCCGGTGACTGATCCACCAAATGAGGCGGAAGTCCGCAAGGAACTCCAACTCTTGAAACGTTACAAATCACCGGCCCAGACGACTTACCTCCGGCTCTTTTTAAAGATGGTGGTGACTTTCTGACTAAGGGACTGACGACGTTGCTTACAAAGGTCTGGGAACTAGAGAGTCTACCAACGTCATGGAATGAGTCGATAGTTGTCCCTATCTTTAAAAAGGGTTCACGTTGTTCCTGTAACAACTATCGGGGGATAAGTCTACTTCCGATTGCGTCCAAGCTATTGGCTTCCGTCATACTTCGTAGGTTGTTCAGAACCCGAGAAGGATTGACTCGCGAGGAGCAGGCTGGGTTTCGTTCCGGTCGATGATGTATTGATCATATCTTCACCCTCCGCCAAATGTTAGAACACCGCCATACTTATCAAAGACCAACAATTGTAGTGTTTCTTGACATCAGGGCTGCCTTCAATTCGTTGGACAGAACTGTTCTCTGGGATTGTCTATTGAAGAAGGGTGTGCCTGAGAAGTTTATTAACATCCTGAAAGCATTATACACAAACACCTCAGGCAGAGTGAGGGCATACAACCACCTTTCTCCACTATTCCATTCGAACAATGGGGTTAGGCAGGGTTGCCCAATCTCACAATTCCTCTTCAACTTTGCCATCGATGACATTCTGGAAACAGCTCTGACGGATGTAAGTAATGGTGGTGTGGATCTGTTGCCTGGAGAAAGACTTCTCGACCTTGAGTATGCGGATGATATTGTCTTACTGTGCGAGAATGCCCAAGCTATGCAATCCGCACTTAATCAGTTGGCAATCAGTGTCCGTAGGTATGGTATGTGCTTTGCACCCTCGAAGTGCAAAGTACTTCTACAAGACTGGCAGGATTCTAATCCTGTACTCACTCTGAATGGTGAGCAGATTGAAGTAGTCGAGAAGTTCGTGTATCTAGGTAGCTGCATAAGTGCTGGTGGTGACGTGAGTGAAGAGATCAATGCACGTATAGTGAAAGCCAGAGCGGCTTATGCCAATCTGGGCCATCTTTGGCGCCTTCGTGATGTTAGTCTGGCTGTAAAATGTCGGATCTACAACGCGTCGGTGAGAGCAGTTTTGCTCTATGCTTGTGAAACCTGGCCTCCAAGTTGAGGATGTTAGACAACTCTCTGTGTTCGATCATCGTTGTCTCCGAAGGATTGCTGGCATTCAGTGGCAACACCATGTCAGTAATGCAGAGGTTCGACATCGTGTGTTCGGTCACAGAGACGATAATGAAATTGCTGTCATCATCTTGAAACACCGACTTTGGTGGCTTGGACATGTTCTACGAATGTCGTCCCAGAGAATTCCTCGTCGTGTATTATTTGCCGACTCTGGGACTGGTTGGAAAAGGCGGAGAGGTGGTCAGTATATGACATGGTGTCGTGGTATGAAAGAAAGCTGCAAAGGGCTAGCTTCTGTTGGTCCTTCACGACTCCCTGGTTGGGGTCCGAGAGACGGTGTAACGCAGTGGCTAGAGACGTTATCATATATGGCTCAGAATAGAAGCCAATGGCGATGCTGCTGTAACCTTCTTTTACTTTCTTCATAAAAAGTGTTTGTATCTTCCTTAACTGAAAGATCTCTTCTGATTGTACCTTTCCGTTTTCCCCATCATTGTTCTCTCTCTTTTTTTATTTATTTATCTATAATTCCCCACGTTCATCACTTTTTTTTCTCTTTTCTCCTTCTCTTCAAATTATCATTGTTTTGTGTGGCGCATATATATTTGGTGCCCCCCTGTACCAATATTTATGTGTTCAAATAAATAATAAATCATAAATCGGACGTTGTGCTAAACGCCAGTTGGAATTTAAGAAGCGTAAAATAATAGTGGGTATTTATAGCGTAACTCCAAAAGTCACACAAATAACGTTCAAAATTGATATACATTTAGAAAACATACTAATCAGTTGCAACCATTTTGCTGATACCTGTGTACATTCCAACGTATTGGTTTAGAAAAAACATCGTTAATGTAGTCAAATTGTAGTAATGCTCAAAACATCTAAAATCCGACCTTTTAGAAAGTACAGTCTAGTATATCCCATTTTAAAATAGTAGTAGTGTCAGGTCATTAATATAAAATAATTGATTGATGGAAACTGAATAACAAGATTCTGGCAATCAAAATCAGGACTTTTAACCTTTATACTGTTCTAACTGGTGTGGAAACTCGCTTTCCTATTAGGTCTTATGTTTGGAACTTACCGGCCGCAAAGATTGGCTATCATCATCACCCTTCGCTTGAAACGACGACCCATATCTTGATTCATGGATCGTCACTACACAATTTGTCAAGACAGTGAAGACCATTCTGTAACGAAACTTACTGAAGTTTGATTAGATACAAACAATTCTGAAAAGTAAACGAATGAATGGCATACCCTGGCTGTTTGCAGGAACGTATGTATATACAACAGTAATTTTTGCACAATCACAAATCTCCTGAAGATATTCACATGCGTTATCCATCTTATCGGGTTTATCTATGGGTGGAACTCGTATTTTACCACCTTTTCTATTCCATAAACCACGAAGAGCTTTGGAAGAAATATGAGCAGTCGCCTCGTTTTCTAATTTATTTTCTTTCAGATCAGACTGGTCTTGTTTGTCAAGCTAGTTTTTGCTAAATTAGAACATCGATAACTTACTAAAGAAAGGGTTTCTTCTTCCATATCATCCAAAGCCTCTTGAGGTATGGTCAGATTATTTTTGATAATATTATCTAAAAGTCCGAGGGCTGCGCGTCGCTTTGCAGATTTTTTGGAATTTCCAAATCCTATAATATTCTCACAAAAATGTTAATTTTACCTGTATGAGTCCATTTCCACAACCTGACTTTGCAACTGTATTCATTGCCCGATGGGGTAGACTGCGGTATGGTTAGGAATTCATAGGATGGCGGTGGCCAGGTATTTTTCTGACACAAATCTTGTAGCCGTCCAACAAAGTTACCTTCCTCTTCCTGTTTTATTTTATTTGGTAGACCATCCAGTTCTATATCATCAAGTGAATCCATAAAGTCAGATCCTAGAACGTTGACCGCGGCAATATGTATATCCCGCAGAGTATATTTTTCCGACTCCGTCAAAAGCCTACTGTTCAGCATCTTCAGCAAAATTAAATATGATGCTTGATGTTTGGCTCTCTTCTTACTCGCTCCTTATTTGAAAACTGAACGGCTAAGTAAACCAATTACCTTTAGAGGTAGCACTGAATGGACCGGCTGTGCACAAAAATACATAAAGTGGCTCATGGATCGGTCCTTCACTTGACACAAGTTCGTATATCGGAGTTATTCCTTTCTTTACGCACACCTCTTGTAAAATGCTAATTGGCGTTCGATGCGTTGCAATTTCAGACATTTGGATTACAAATCGCTAAGACTTAAGGTTTGTCTAAAAAGGAAATCTGAGCAATAATAAGTACTTCAACGTGAAAAGCTTAGTAAAATGTTTATGGTAGATGAAGACAAATATTGGGATAAACGGTTAGTTACCACCAACAGACTGATAATCACAATCTTCATTATTTAGCAAGTATTGAGTCCCTACAGATGTAATAATAATCTTACTTCAGTTTGAATAGTTTTAATAGACTAAACATTTTTGGTAAAACAAAAGCGGCAGTTTTTGTTCAACTGTTCCTAGTTATTTGATTAGAGCACAAACCTCCGAGGTTCTATTTAGCTTAGCTAATTATATGCTGTATAAACCCCATATACAGTATTGAACGTTGAGCTTAACCTCTGAATCCGAAGCAAAGTCAGTCTGACTTTAAGAATAAATCTTTTATCGAGTTACCGTCAACTGGAAACAAGAGACTTGGATTTGTTTAATGAGCCTCTATTGAGCTTATTCTAATTTTTTACCATCGTGCTAAAAATAATTGAAATACATCAAAGGTTGAAAACATTTCACAAAATTGTTTATAAACAGCTGACGTGACCATGTTACTTTGCAAAGCAGTACTTAGAATCAACTACTTAAGAACTAAACCATAATGTAATGTATCCGCTAAGTGACAGATTCCCACTCGCCCAGTTATCATAGCCTTCAGATTATAAAACTAACTGAACGATAAAAATTCCTTCTCGAAATGTTGTTTAAAGGTTCGATTAGTAAGGTAGAATATACTTATTTGTGTATACTCTGTAGTCAAGTTATATGAAGGCGAACAGGATTTTAAAATACATTTGGCTCCATATGGCTGGAGCAAGCCGCGTATAGTTGCTCAGTGGATCCGAGGATAAGAAAGTGAGGGTTTATGTTTGCAGGAGAGCCTTCAAATGGGTTAAATTACGCATAGTATCTTACTAAAACTTCTTTGTTAGATCCCAGTGCATATTTCTCATCCACTTTACTGCATCTATGAAAATGGACTATGGTACTTAACATTATTTAGTTGTTAGGTATTTAGATTACATAGTAGTATCATAGTCAAATTAGCCCTTCAGTAACAGGCCCGACAACTGTGTCTAATTAATACACTGCCGGGTCAAACAAACTTTAGGCGATAATGGTGAATGTCATTTAAGCACTGAAAACTACTTTTTTCGACCTTAAGTCACTTCAGATTAAAAATCGGAAGCTTTTCGTGGCATTGTACGGTGAGGACATAATGTGGAAGGAAAATAACACATAACGCTTATTCCCTTCATTGCAAACCTTACATGAAACAAAATTTTGTAAAACTTCACGTTGTTTATATTCAGAAGAGACAACTTGATGGTGTCGTACAAGCCGACGAAGGCCACCAAAAATTTACTATTTTGTTTTAAGGGCATTAATACTGAAACAATTGTCTCAGTTGGTCATTTCAGCGACTGTTCGACACGTTTGTGTGAAAAACCTCAGACTTCAAGAAATAAAGCAACCAAGGGTTTACGTCCTATTAGAAAGCTTTTAAACATAAACATCTGATTATTACACTTTTTAAAAGAGAAATTCTTGATTTTGACCGTTCTTATCGGTCAAAAGTCAGTCTGGAAACTGCAAGGTCATACCCAGTATCGCTTAATTTTAAGTGTTGCGTAGTGTAACTGACATATACTTTTAGTTCAATAGTACACTGAGATATTTACTGTGTCATTCTGTGCTTAGCTCTGTAGACAAGCATTCATTATTTACAAGTTTTCAAACAGCAAGATACGCATATTAAGAAGTCACAATGTCGATGATGAGAATCTTAAGGATAAAGTAGACAATTTCCAAAAAGTTCATGTTCAACACTAAAATCGTATATACATAACAAATTATGGTTTGACGAACAATGTTCGGTAAGACTTGTTTAGCTACATGAAATATGTCTTGTTATTATCAACTAAAGAAAAAACTACTGGGGAGAATATGTAAAACACAAGAAAGATATAATCATTATAAGCAAAGATGGATAGTGGCTAGCAGTGGAATCCGGGACGCGCGTTTCGTCCTATTCGGGACTCGTCAGCTGGATGTACCTGCATCTCAGAGTTGATGTTCACTCCGGGACTCGAACCCAGTACCGCCCGCTTCAAACGCCACCGCATTATCCACTTAGCTACTGAGTCCTGATAGCCGCTTGCTTATGCGATGGGGTGAAGTTTAATACGAGACTGAACAATTTCAGTCCTAAACATCAACGTGAAGATTCAAATAAAACAATATCAAGTGAATTAAACTTCACCCCATTGCACAAGCAAGTGGCTATCAGGACTCAGTAGCTAAGTGGATAACGCGATGGCGTTTGAAGCGGACGGTACTGGGTTCGAGTCCCAGAGTGAACATCAACTCTGAGATGCAGGTACATCCAGCTGACGAGTCCCGAATATGACGAAACGCGCGTCCTGGATTCCACTGCTAGCCACTATCCATCTTTGCTTATGATGCTTGTAAATTAAGGCAATATCGAGGCATACGCACAGTATGCACATATGCCAATAAGAGACTGAACAATTTCAGTCCTATACATCAATGGGAAGATTCAAATAAAACAACATCAAGTGAATTAAAGATATAATCAATAGGGTAAATAGAGCAATTATGAGTATCGTTGATTTGAAACAAACATGCCTCAGTAGTGATCAGGGAACTAGGTGAGAAACGATCTTCGTTACAATAACGAAATAGAGTAAAAATAGAACCATTGTTGTAAAAATAGAAATCAAATGTTAAAAGAATAAAGATGAAGCCACTGTAGCGGTAAATAAATCCCCAAAAATAAATAGCTCTGCAAGTCTTCGACATTTGATGCTGACCACATTGGTTTTAATGGACTCGCCTAGCTGAAGGTACTCGGTCACGCATACACACCAGATCACGAGTCGGAACGCCGTGCTGAACATCCCCTGCAAGCGCCAGTCGGATTAGATCAGTTGATCTTTAATATAATGATGGCTTATCAAATACACTTTCAACCCTGCTTGCTTCTGTCTTTTGATTTCACTTGGTGGACGCGACTTATGTTAAGAGGTGTTATTGGTTAAAGCGTTGTCAAACTCCAAATACCTGTGGCATCTTCACCACAAATGAGGCCAGAATATCCTGGTACGAAAGAAGGTGAGGCGTCTGCTCCGTTCGAAATTCCCTCAAACAACATTGTTTTCGTCCATTGTCAGGTAAGTTCTGCTCACTACTTATCCACGGAGTGTTGTTTATGGAAGTGAGAGTACGGAAATCGAAATCCCCGTACTTAAATTAAGTTGATTAAAATGGAGTTGAGAAACTATTCTAAACAAATAGTGCATATAAGTTCCAAGATCCCTATAGAACAAGTGGTGTATGTATCTGACTATCGTGGAGTTGAATAACTTGACGTCGCTGCACTGATGTGAAAAGCATTTTAGAGGCTCTGTGTGCAGACAAAAAATTGCCAATGATTGAAGCTTCTGCAATATACAAACGTTTTACAGACGTTTTCCTCCGCTTATATAGACGATGTTTTTTCTATTACTGTCAAGCCCATATGGGTTATTCTGGCTTCCGGAAAGATCAATTCATTCTCTTTGCGTCAAATCTTGACTTGTCAATCATTTGCTTATCAACTTTTACCTTTTTTATATGAGGGTATGTGTGTATTTCACTTGCTCTGTTAATCAAGTATCTTTGGCTTATTTTTGTCTGTCATAGATATTGAGTCACACTTTATCAAATAGAGTTGCATACTTGCCTTCTGCGCTTCACATTCTCACTCCTCACTCTTACTGCCTCTCTGGATAAACGAGTTCTTGAAGTAAATTCATTCAATTCAACTCTTATTCGGCTTTTCATTACCGCTGTTGCACAAACAAGAATATCCCAGGTGTAATATATGGAGTTAAAATGGAAGATCTATATTCATGACATTCATATATTCATTAGAATTAGAATAAGATTACGGGTCACTCAAAAGTCAAAGGATGAACGCGGATGTTCTGTATCTATCTCGTGTTAAAGAGTAAGTGACGTCACGGAGAGACAATCATTCTTGTTGAACTGCAATTACAGATCCTCCGAAATGCGTTGAATAAGATGTGCAGTCGAATGATCTTCATAACTGGATGTACAAGTGATGAAGAATGAGAATATACATTGTAACGGGAAGAGAACGATTAAAATCCCTCCACGGTCTTTTTTGTTGGACAGTATTTTCATTTATTTGTTTCTTCTCCCTGTTATATATATTTTAACCTTTGTTCAGATCTCGTTTGAGCTTTTATTATGTGATTTTGATTAAAAACTTATCTTTTTGTTACCTAATTTTTTATTGCATGTTGCCGGACTATTGACAGTGAGGTCGTGTTTGGCTAAGCTCAAGGTCACGGCGTGATTCAGTGTGACTGTTAACCTTTTGATTGTCTGCTTGGGAGGATTTCTGGAATCCCTGCAGATAGACATTTGGTCCCGTTTGTTCGGAATGTATTTGTTAATTCTCAGACATCAAACCCTTTGGTATTGACTGTTTCTTTTATTGTTTAGCGCGCTACTTTGCGTTAGAGAAACTTCTGACTGTATAGCACAGGCTGTATCGTTTGAGGTATTTTGTGTTATTGATGTAGTTTGTTCTATTTCGTAAATTAGAACCGTATAAATTGAACACAGAGTTTGTGTTTTGATATAATTTAATACGAGTGTCTCAAAAACGCCTAGTGTTCTATACAGAAGAGCGTAGTCTGACTTATCCGGACACGTTTTGGTTCGTCAGTCCAGCGTTCAAACCGAATACTGGTAGTTTGGTCGTTGCACACCTTGGAAACTGAAACACTCTTATACTGAAGGACATGTGACATTCCAGCTAGCATGGTAAAAATTGGATGTGATGATTTGTATGTTATGCTTCTTAAACTGTTTGCATTATCACTCTCCACAGGGTGTTACTTTTCTACCTATAAACTACACCTATCGCTATCAGAATTGCTTCAGGACCTGAGTCAAATTTAGGAAACATCCCGCCGATAAACATGACCTTAGTGACGGAGAAGGCATTTGAAGGGGCGGTAATTCAATATCTGCTTGCTAATTATCTCATCTCCACCTTCTATCATGGGTTTTCGAGGTCAGTGTTACGCGATACATGCCTGGTATACTACCTGAATGCTCAAAATTTAGGATAGGTCAACGGCTTTTTATATTAATTTTATTCTCACACTTAAGGAAAGCTTTTGGTAAGATTCCACACAAAAGGTTTCACGTTGAATCGAAGTCTTTCATAACCATTAATCTACTACATTTGTGGATAGCCCCATTGCTAAGAGAACGTAAACGAATTATAAATTATAGAGAATTTCTCTCATTAACAAGGCCAATATCTAGTACAGTTATCTACAGGTGTATACTAGGTATATTCTTGTGTATGAATGATGTATGTGAAACCATAAAATTTGAAAGACTACGCTCACATGCCGATGGCCTTTAAATAGTTTACAGGGTTAAGCCTAAAGCATGAAGCAAAACTGTACCGTAGACCCTGACTGACCGTGATAACCTATCTATAGGAATCTAAAAATTGTAGATATCACTGAGACGCAACAGGTGTGAGATCATACACTTTGTAAGGCATCCCTATGAGCTGCTACCTCCCTCGAATTAATGTTGAGTTGAGACACGCAAATCAGTGCCAAACCGATGAAATACTTACAGAAGATGTCTAAACTTCAAAGTGAATCTATATTTTACGATTTTTAAAACTGTGATGCTGACTAAAGCCATCTAAATTCGTATATTATAAAATATCAACACAGCTGAGTAATTTACTACAGTGAAAATTGTATCATCTATAACAATTTGGTCTTGCCTATAAACTGGTATGCCACATGTAACAAAGTGTTATTTGGGAATAAATTATTATTAGTTGTAGTAATATTAACAATTATTTGTCAATATTTAATTTCATTAACCTGTCGAAATTACTTTTAATGCCATTGAACATACGAGCTGTCAAGATCGTGTACTCTGATGACGTGAAATTAATTTACATACTATTGTTTGGGGGCGTACGAGGTATGATATGGTCTCATTTTAACCACACATTATGCTCTTCGGTCTTCTTTGTCATGAATTTTTATTTGATCTCGGCTAAACTATTTTCTTTTATTATCCAACTTGCCGTTACATGTTGCCGGATCATTGACATCAAGGTCGGGTCTGACCAAACTCAAGGTCACTGTTTGGTTCAATGTATGACCGTTAACCTCTAACTGTTCGCCTGGGAAGGTCGTCGGAATCTTTATGGACAGATATTTAATTCCATCTTGTAGAAAATATTTTATTGGCTCTCAGGTATCGAACTCTTGTTTAGTAAATGTTCTGTTTGTCTTTGAGGACGTTATTCTGTGTTAGATAAACCTTTGACTGCTATAATTTGTCCTCTATCTCAAGTTAGAGTGATTCAAATTTAACACAGGGTTTGTGTTTTGCGCTTCATGTACTCTATACAGAAGAACATAGTCTGGTCTAATGGAATAAATTGTGGTTCGCTAGTTCTGCGTTCAAACCGAATTTTGGTGTTTCAGTTGTTTCAATATACGTCAGACCAATAGTTGAATACTCTCCGTCCTCACGCCTATGCGATATACT